GGTCTTGTGTGAAAAGAGTTTGTGGCTCGCAACAGGTTGGAGAATCACCTTCGTCGAGTGAGCACTCCACAAAGAGTGAACCGCGCAAATGTCGAAAGTGGTCGGATGTGTCTTTTCCTTGAGGCAGCTTGAGGGCGATCAACATCACAACAAAAATCCCCCTCACTTTAGACCTATTGCTTCCAAAAATAACACGACTGCACTACAGCGCCTTCCACAATCTTATGAATAAATGCGGGCTTAGGGCTGGTGTTTCAGAAAATATGTCTAAAATATATTACTGTATTGTACTTGAAGGAAAACGGTGTGTAGATGGTTTTGTTTCCTGGCGAGTAATTGTTAGCATATTTTTTTTGCTTTGGCATCAATGGAAGGAACCATGGGAAGGCCAATAAGTGATTTCCACTTTTCTTTGCTGGCCCCAATCTCCAAACGGGGAAGTGGAACTGATGATGATGATGATGAGTGGATAATGTTTCAGCTATGTACTGATCCAAAAAGTTAGGAAGTATTCCTTTTGCAGTCAGGTATAATTAAATGATTTAGGTGAAATTAGGGTTTTAAAACCCAGGTCTCAGCAAGGCATCAATTTCAAAACAAATCTGTCACTGCATAAAACTATACACATTCAATTCTCAACTCTGATATATGTGCAACTGAAAAAAGAAATTAAGATATTCTGTTTGTGTTTAACACCTGACAACTGATCACTGAGAGACTTGCAATCAACTCCTAAAAATGAAGACACCCTTCTACCAACATTGAGGGTAGAAAAATATATCCATTTCTTCAAGTCTCATATAAAAAATTTGGAGCAATTTGAGTTTTACTAAATAAATGACCTGATTGTTTCATTTCATGAGTACTTAAAAAATTAGTAACTGAGGAAATGTAAACACTAATAGTCTTATGGATAAAGTTTAAAAGTTCACAGTGGATTAGAAAATATACAATGTGTTCATCACTTACAAAATAGGGGCTAGGCAATGAAATTTTCACTTTTCAAGAACAAGTAGTCAACCTATAATTTCTCCTTACTGTAGTAGTAGTTTCGAGTAGACAGGCCAAGTTAAGAAAATCATTTTGAGGTCACATTTTCTAATTATGTTGTCACTATACAATGTCCACAATAAGAGTATGTAAATTGGAGTAAATCACTGTAGGGGGCGTCCTCTCTCTCATAACTTGTAGCTGTGCTATGTACAGAAGAAGCAGCACTTTGATTTTGTCATCACCAGTGTGTGGACTTTCACTTGACTGCTAACTGTTGGCTTTTTTATGGTTATGAATATCGGCAAATTCTCCCCTCACATTTTCACTGCAATGATTTCTGGATCCTGACCATTCCAAGGGAACTTTTTATAACATGTATAACATAATAACAGCAATAATATGTATGACATTTTGTTTGCTCAGTCACAGTTGCAGTTAGTGCAACTACAGGCACCATTGCAAATATGGCACCTAGCACACCTACTTGGCCATATACAGGCCAAAAACTCTTCCTGTAAATACAGTCAGAAGCATATCCCCTAGGTGACATGCTTCTGATACAATGTATGCAAATGTTTACTGATTTAACAATGATTATAATTAGTTTGTGATCAGTGATAGCATACATAGATAAAACCGGCAACGGCACAGAAGCACGAGGCAACACAAGGCCCCGGATGGCCGGGTGGGCCCAGATATTAACCGCAAGGACTTCCATTGTCAGAACATACAGAAGAGGTGAGAGGGGGCAACCCTGTCTCACCCCCCGAGAAGGTTTAAAGTAACGAGAAGTGTGACCGTTGATGAGGATGGAGCTCCGAATGTCATAGTAAAGCAGAACCACCCACTTCATAAAAGATGGGCCAAATCCCATCCGAGAGAGGGTAGACTGGAGGAGGGGCCAATCAACGCGGTCGAAAGCCTTCTCTTGGTCCAAATACAAGATGGCAAGCGGGAGATCCGCATCGTTGGCATAGTGAACCACATCCCGGAGGGGGGCCACATTCTCACCAATGAAGCGATGGGGCAGGTTTGATCACGGGCCACTACATGATGAATAACTTTTAGAAGTCTTCCAGCGAGAGCTCTGGCACAGATTTTATAGTGAACATTTAAAAGACTAATGGGGCGCCAATTCTTATGCAATAATCGATCAGCCTTCTTGAAAATGAGGGAGATAAGCGCACCCCGTTGAGAGAAGGGAAGAAGACCAGAGTCAAAAGAACCATTTAAAACCTCGACGAGGTCAGGACCCAAGATATCCCAGAAAGCCAGGTAAAATTCGGCCGGGAGACCATCCGAGTCTGGAGATTTTCCTTTGGCCATACCTGCCTTATGCACCTCCTCCACAGTAAGATGGCCCTCACAAAGGGGGACTTGCGAAGGGGGGACAAAAGAAGACAGATTATCTAGAAGCTGATTCTGGACATCGATGTTGGTAGGACAGGCACAGAATAAATCAAAATAAAAGGAGACCCATGAGTCGCAGATGCCAGGAACATCAGCCACAATAGAACCGTCAGGCTTCTGCAT